TGCTGTGAGTCCATGTGCACATACAAAGACACACGCATATTCATCTGTGTATAGACAAATCCAGCGCTGGTGTATGCAGCAGAAAGCAGAAGGCAAGCAAAACTGTACACATTTACAGTGACTGCGGAAAAAGATATGTTGGGGTTAATCATGGTCAGCAGGAAGTCTACGAGACCGTAGAGGTCTCAAAGTACTAGAAATTGTTATGACACAGGTTAAAAAAAACAAACAAAAAAAACATTAATGTACCGCTTCTGTCCAACCTCCACATTCAGATTTAAATCTTTATAAAGAAATGCATCATTTAAATAAAAATCGTAAATATGTGATAATGTAAAACTCGAATTTGAGCCTAGAAACAAATTGACCAGTTGACCATTGGCCGTAACGTGGGGTTTATGTTCACTTTCTACCTACTGGAGCAGCTGATAATACAGCACAGAAAGGCATCTAGCTGTCTGCCAAAACTGGACACATTTGTTTGAAATGTTTAGGTTTTGTAGATTATAACCTTTTTAATTTAATTTATTTCCAACATATAATCAGTTCTACAGGATCACCTGGACAGTTTTTTCTGACAAAGTTGCATGAAAAGTGAAATAATAGGTTTACAAGTGTAGTAGTTGTCACTGTCCTCTTCTGACGTTATTTCTGATTCGTCTGTACAGAAAAGAGAGGGTAAAGACACTAAGCTCACTGAGCTGTTCGTAACTCCTAAATCATTTATTGATTGTGCAGTGTGGTGAGCCAGGGTCCCTGGTCCCACGAAAACAACACCGGGTTGTCATGGGACAGCTGCTGTAAGTATTATGGGATATAGAGTTTACCTGATGTCTACGGTGACAGTGTCCTTGTGACAGATGGTTGACCAGGTGTCCCGTTTTACTCTTTCCCAGTGATGTTATTCATCACCGTCTCTTCCCTGTCTTTGTTACTGCTTATTTATTTGCATCTGCTTGTTTATATATCTTGCTGCAGATCTGAGTTTATCCAGTCCATGCTTGTCTTTATTAGAAAAAATTGCCCTCCCATTGTGATCAATATGTCCACATTCATACTCTATTTTTTGCAATTCTCTCTTTCCCTCCTTCTTTCTCCCTGTCAGGAGAAGCGCCGGCTGCAGGAGGAGCAGGACAGAGCCAGGAGAGAGATGGAGGATGAGAAGCTCAGACTACAGCAGCTCAAGGTGTGACACACATACACAGGATGATCTAACCTGTCTCATTCATTCACCCACGCAACTCACACACACATGCAGCCTTAATTTCACTCAGCTAAAATCCTCTGCAGACCCATTCCAGCTTGTTACCATGCAGATAGACACATTTATTTCCTTTTCTTACACACGCACACACCAACACACACATAGATGAACTGTACAGCCCTCAACACTTCCTGGTTCTGCCTGTTTCTCACAAGGTTAGAGGAAAGCCTTTCTTTGCTGAAATCAATTTTTATGAGCATGTTTCCACACTCTGCAAGGCACAGAGCGGCTCTATTGTTTTCACATAATTTCCAGATTGGCGTTCCCACTTCCTACTCCGCTGTGTTACGCTGTCCAGGGGCACATTCCTCAAATTGTGTGAAATCTGTGCAGCGTGTGTTTGTGTGCAAGCAGGTATGCATGTGTGTGCTGGTGTGGTCATAGAAGACACTATTTTGCATATGTTCACCGTGTTTGTGTGTGCATGTGAGTTTGTGAACAATGCACCGAACATAAATTGCATCATGAGAGGCTTCAAAGATTCATTTTTAAATGATTATTTCAATAGTTGCTCTCTCACAGGAGGCGATATCATATTGCTTTACATACATTCATTAGCTTTGACATTGAGTGTAACCCTGGGGTAGATGTAGGGTTGTGATAAGAGGGAGCAGCAACACACAGCTCCTGACCTGCAGGAAAGTTTAGAGGGCTGTGCCCAGCAAGCCAAAGGCAAAGGGAGGTGAACAGAGCAGGGCTTGTTCTGCGCTGCATGGGAAAACACAGATGGTTTTGTGACGCTTATAGCTAAGTAGGTAGCTACTGGCTAACGGTTGCCAGATTTTGAAAACATAGGGCCATAGAGGAGGGAGTATGGATTTTCAGATGCTTTCACCTCCAGTAAAAAAAATTACAGTTGCTCTGAGAGCTTTGTGCTGGCATTTTAGTGTATATAGACACATAACTATGATAATGTGATAATCCTGGTTTTTTGGTACATTAGATTTAGCCTACAAAAGGTTCCCTGCAGACAGACTGTTCACTTACGCATGTCACTGTCAGCTACAGAAAAGTGTTCCTCGAGCTGGCAAGAGTTTACTGTCTGGCTCAAGGGCACTTTAGCGGCGCAGATGAAACAAGCACTTGAACCAAGGTCAACCGGTTGTAACATGGTTGTCTTACTGACTAAGTCACCCTGCAGCCACTGTTATTTTTCCTGACATACACAGGAACACAACTAGTAACTTATTGTATAATAGAGTCAAAAATGTTTCTCCTTCTTGGCAGTTTCCTGCTTCCAGTCTCTTTAGTGTAGTGTTTAAAGTGTACATTATACAACCCTTGAAAGGGTTGTATAATGTGTATAATGTTCGAGTTTTGGCAGATCATTTCTCAAGTGGAATTTTGTCTATGAAGAAATTCTGCAAATAACAATGGAAATACATTTGTTGGTTTGATGAGTCTGACAAATGGTGTAACCACTATCATTATAACATTATTTTCATCATGTCACTTTCATCACCGGGGTTCTCTTTCTGGTTGTGCAGTATCACCACTTTGTTTTTGTTTTATTTGTGGATGTAGCATGAAAATATGTCCAACTTTTGTTAACACTGAAGAACAGTAATAACTAAAAAGAGCTGTGAATGCTTTGAAAGGTGAAGATTCCGTGTAAATATACTGTACATACTATACTGTGTTTGTACAGCTCAGAACTCCAACTAAATAAATTACATTCTTGAAAAGGTAATTTTTTCACCTTTTGTCAGTTAAAAGGTCACATATATGCGGGCTAGCGCAAATTATTCCAGGTGAAATGGAATCATTATATTTGAAAACACCATGAAATCGGTAGTCACTTGTGTAATTTGGGATGGACTGTCAGGTTTCCAGTGGAAAACTCACACAAATGTGTACACCCATGTGGGATGTGTCACTCATATTCACAGATAGTTCACACACACAGAGCTTTTAAAGATTCGAGTGCTAGATGTCCAGTGGGGGTCTGGAACGAAAGAAAAAACAGCAAAGCAGTGGAAATAAAGTATTAGACTTGAAGGAATGTTATGTTTTTGTGTGTCTCTTAGACAGACTAGTCAGTTCTACAAACTTCTGAACATTGTGCTCTTGTTTGTGTAAAACTTTAAAGTTCTTGGTTTGGTGTTCTGGTTGGATGAAATGGTTGCCTCAGGCACCTTTCGTTCACTGGGCGATGTCTCTTTACTGGAGTGGTGTAGGAATAAAGTGCATGCACAATATAAATTCATACTACCATTCTCTCTGTCGGATAGCTGAGATGAAGACATGGTGACATGGACTCAGTTGTTTCTGTCTTTCTGTCTCTCACCTTTTTTTCTCACCTTCGCCCCCTTCAAACAACCACATTTCGCTTTACCTTCCCTATCTCAATTTTCCCCTCTGGCTATGTCACTGCTCCATCTTACTTCTCCTTGCTGTGCCTCTGTAGTGAGTAGACCATGGTACTTCTGACATGTGTAAATCAACATCATTAACTGTGAGTTTATTATAATTTTTGCTTCTGTGCAAGATTGTTTGTAAAAGAAAAATAAGCTGTGTCCCAATTCCAGACCAATTATAAGCAGGTATGAGTATGTTCATGCTGAACATCAAAGTTGTCAAGTATACTGAAAACAGTCAGTGTAGGCCTACAAAAACCCCTGTATGATTTTCCCACAATGCAAAAGTAAATAAACGATCTGCTCAAAGCTGGTAAAGAAATTAAAGCTAAAACACCACCTAAGAAAACACCTTTATTTTAATGTTCAGTGACCGTTTAGAGTTGCAGTTTGATTAGCATGAGCATCTTTAGAGACACTAGGCCTTTTAGTGTATATATTTTACACTTTTGGACAAATCAGGAGTGATTATGGACACAGTTTTTTTCTCTCTTTCTTAGCAGTTGGTTTCAGTTGAACATTCTGTTGCTAGTAGCAGCCACAACGGGCACAGTTGGAGTTAACTGAAATTATCTTCAGCTTCTTATCTTACATTTTTTATCTAATGTTACTCTTAAAACGCCCTTGTTGGAGCATTATCTGAAGATACTCAATGCTGAGTAGCTATTTTGTGACATTTGTTTAAACTATTTGTAGTTTCAGATGTTTTTCTTATCAGCTAACGTTAAATGCTAAGCAGGCTAGCCATATCAGTTTAACTACTGTTAGCTGTCTGTTGCTAATTCAACATCCTAGTTATGTGAACATTCTGTTCACTTACTGTTGCTCTTAACGGTTTGTATATTATTTTCTTGTGGATATTTTCAAGATTAATAGGTAATACTTTCTAGAGATAATTGTTAGCTAGCTTTATACTTTAATGACTACAGTTAGCATTACTAGCTAGCATTAGGTTAGTTAGTTGAGTCAGTGTTGTTCATTGTAAATTGTATTTGTTTGTATTTGATTGATTCCTTTAAAAAAATGTATGTGTTACTAGCGCCTGACTTGCAAGTCAGGAGTGATATTATTGGCTGATAATAGCTTATCACAGTTATATCTGTATCTGTATCATTGATGTATAATGTTAATAAAACCTGAATAGTGTGAATTGTAGTAATGTTAATTTTACCAGTGCTAAAGATGTGTTGCAGGAATTTATTACTCGAACATATAGTTTGTCCACCAGAGAGCACTGACAAGTTATTTTAAGACTGTAAAATGTCCTGCCTCTTGGTCACAATAGTTTAGTAACCAAATTTCAAGGATCCTTATCAAAAATGTTGATGTTGTGTGTTTATTTTTAAAAAGAAAAATCAGCCTGAAGATTATTATTAGATTTTTTACCTCCCAAAATCTTGATATTTAAAATACTGGTCACGCTGTTATTGAATGCTGTGTTTCTCAGCTATTTGTTTTTGCTGTAACACTGGTCCTCCTCAGATTAATTTACTGTAGTTGTTGATATACTCACTATAATTTTTGGATCTTGATATCGATAGTGATACAGTTTTTTTGATAAATTTTTCTCACTATGTAATAGTATAAACTGTACTGTATAGCAACATCTGTGACAGTTGACACATTTATAGCATCTCACAGTACTGTTTTAATTACAATTTGCAACACAACATCCTATTACCACAATACTACTGAAAGTTGACTCGCTATCCTGTCTGTCCTCCTTCCTCTTCTACACCACCTCTTTCTCGCTCCAGAGGAAGTCTCTGAGGGACCAGTGGTTGATGGAGGGAGCTCCTTTGTCCCCAACCTCTCTGGACTCCCAAAGCCCCCGTTCCCCTCTATGGGGCTCCCAGGCCCAGGAGATTGAAAACCGCATTGACAAGTATGGGGGGGGGTGTGTGTGTGGGTGTGTGTGTGTGTGTGTGTGTGTGTGTGAGAGGAGCTAGGAGATGAGGAGCCAGTTTGTGATTGCCTGACACAGGTAGCGCAGAGCTGACAGCATAACAGAACTGTTGTTTTTGTTGTGTTTGTGTAGCTGAAACTTCATGTATAATTGATGTTGCAGCATTCCCTTTTCTGTTTTTGTTTCCTTATACTTTTTGCTGTTGTCATACGTTATGTATGCTTTGGCAAAGTTCAGTTTAATTCTGCCAGTACTCAACTCGCAGTAGGGAGTGAGAATTAGATCCAGCCTGCACAGTCGCCAGAGAGGACTAGACTTTTTTATTGCAGTGGGCAATGTTGTCAAGTCCCTGAAAACTGCACTTCAAGATCCCAATGTTATTATTGTAGAGATCCACAGCTTACCTCGCTTTCTAAGAACACTCCTTATACACACTGTACATGGCCTCTGGGGGAATTGAAACATACTGATTTAGCAAAATAAATATGCCTATATTAGTTTTACTTTTGATTAGAAAATTTAAAGGCATCATAGTCCAAGAGTGCATTGTTAGTGTAGAGTTGATGTGTTTGGTTTTTTTGTCTGTCTCAGATTGCAGTCAGAGAGTCAGCGGATAGCAGAGGAGGAACAGAAGCTGAAGGAACTGATGGAAGATGGCCAAACGGTGAGGAACATGCACACACTCGCCCACGCACTCTGTGGACACAAAGGGGGTTGCAATATGTGTTGAACAAGCACGCTCCATCATCTTCCATTACGTAGAAAATTCCCCTCAACTACTGTCTGTGGCTTTTTCCCATGAATAATGCATTTCTTCTCTTAATGTACCTTTGATGTAGCACCTCTTGTTCAAAAGCAGGAACTTTATGAATGTAAGCAGCTCTGTTACATAAACAATTCAGCACTTGACCCACTCTGGGATTATTGTTTCACCTCAAGTCAAGCACAAGTGTGTTTACCTGACCTCGCCGAAAGTCTTTATAGTAGAACAAAAGAGCTGTCCCGCCTTTTTTACCGTCTGTGCCAAGGTCTTTTTAGTAAGGTTTTTCTATCCCATTCATCTAAACCTTGGATTTTGAAGTTCAGCTAAAATTAGCTAGAGACATAAACAGAGGATTCCGTTTTTAATCACTATTACAGCCAATTATTCATGCTGGCTGTGATGGAGGACTTTGAATGCATGACCTTATCCTCTGTGTGAAAATACAGCACTTTGAACAGGCTCTGCCAGCAAAGCTTGGGTTTAATAGGCAGACTGAGAATGAGTGACAGCTAATATCTGGCAACGCAAACAGGCACATGAAGAAGATTTTCTCACTTTGTTAGCCTAATGCTTTCGGATGAGACTAGGAATGTGATGATATGTTTAGATCCTTGAAAGCAGGCTTTTAATTGTAAGGAACACACATGATTACTGTTTATCTATGCAGGGCTGATGTAGTTAAGTGCATATTACACCAAACTGTGGAGAGTGGTCAACTTATCAAAGGTTAGGTAGGGCTTTTTAGCTCAATCACTCCCCCTTGTGACCAGGCAGAATGTCATGACCCTTTAACAGCTGAAATCATCAGTCCTCCATCTGAGAGACCATACTGGACACATTAACTAGTTCAGCACATGCTGTGCATTTCTGTGCTGTTCAGAGCGTAGGATAGTATCTTACCGGTATTTATACAACATGAGGAAAATTTGTGTGTCTGTTTCCTCAAAGGTCTTGTGATGTTCCAAAGTTTGCATTTCATTTGTTTTTTCAAATTCCCTCAAATACACAAGGGGTTCAGTCAACATAAAGTGTTTTACCAGTTTTTACAGTAAATGTAATTCCTCTCCCGTCCCTCTTCCCCAGCAGGAGGCAGTGAAAGTGGCAGAGGCCAGTGCAGGTAAGTGGGATCAGATAAACCTTTTGGCACAGAGAAATGTTAAAATTACATTGGACATTTTAGAAAATTGCATTTCCATTAGCTTTTTACTAGGGAAAGTGATACATCGATGCAAATGTCACACTGTAGAGGAGTTAACATGAGCATTTTAAAGTATTTGACAAGCTCAACCATCCACAGTATGTAACAGAGTGCAGAGAGAAGCATTGCTGTCATCCATCTGCCTGCTTTTTCCAACACGGTATTCTGTCAATACATTTCAACCCTGCAACTCTTTATCATACTTCATACAAAACAGAAAACTTGCAAGGTTCCCCGTATTATGGCTAATCTACAAGAGATTAATTTACTCCAATTTAAGGGTTGTTGCAATAAGAAAAGCAACTTTTGTCATCAGGGGGCTGGTGTATAGCTGCTCTTTTATTTATTTTTTTTGAGACAGGATGGTTTGCACTCAAAAGAGTCTTCAGACTAAAAAGACAATTTTCAGTTTATTTTTTTTATTTTCTATGTATTTCCCTAAAAGATCACCCCAATAATTATAGGATGCTTAATTATTTTCAAATAGAGCACTTAAAGTCATCTGGTGAAATTTCCTGTATTTTTCATATCGCAATATACACTAACCTAAAGGATTATTAGGAACACCTATTAGGAACATTTCTCAATAATGCAATTATCTAATCAACCAATCACATGGCAGTTGCTTCAATGCATTTAGGGGTGTGGTCCTGGTCAAGACAATCTCCTGAACTCCAAACTGAATGTCAGAATGGGAAAGAAAGGTGATTTAAGCAATTTTGAGCGTGGCATGGTTGTTGGTGCCAGACGGGCCCACTGAGTATTTCACAATCTGCTCAGTTACTGGGATTTTCACACACAACCATTTCTAGGGTTTACAAAGAATGGTGTGAAAAGGGAAAACATCCAGTATGCGGCAGTCCTGTGGCAGAAAATGCCTTGTTGATGCTAGAGGTCAGAGGAGAATGGGCCGACTGATTCAAGCTGATAGAAGAGCAACTTTGACTGAAATAACCTTTCATTTCATCAACCTTGCATTTGTGAAGCCACAACACGCACAACCTTGAGGAGCTCACCAAAATTGTACAGTTGAAGACTGGAAAAATGTTGCCTGGTCTGATGAGTCTCGATTTCTGTTGAGATATTCAGATGGTAGAATCAGAATTTGGCGTAAACAGAATGAGAACATGGATCCATCATGCCTTGTTAGCACTGTGCAGGCTGGTGGTGGTGGTGTAATGGTGTGGGGGATGTTTTCTTGGCACACTTTAGGCCCTTTAGTGCCAATTGGGCATCGTTTAAATGCCACGGCCTACCTGAGCATTGTTTCTGACCATGTCCATCCCTTTATGGCCACCATGTACCCATCCTCTGATGGCTACTTCCAGCAGGATAATGCACCATGTCACAAAGCTCGAATCATTTCAAATTGGTTTCTTGAACATGACAATGAGTTCACTGTACTAAAATGGCCCCCACAGTCACCAGATTTCAACCCAATAGAGCATCTTTGGGGTGTGGTGGAACGGGAGCTTCGTGCCCTGGTTGTGCATCCCACAAATCTCCATCAACTGCAAGATACTATCCTATCAATATGGGCCAACATTTCTAAAGAATGCTTTCAGCACCTTGTTGAATCAATGCCACGTAGAATTAAGGCAGTTCTGAAGGCGAAAGGGGGTCAAACACAGTATTAGTATGGTGTTCCTAATAATCCTTTAGGTGAGTGTAAATTGCAGAAAAGAAAAATATTGCAGTTTATAGTATATATTAACATAGATATAATGAGTTTTTTCCCAATATCATGCAGCCCTAAAATGTGTGTAGACACACTGCTTTTCTTTCTGCTGTTAACACCTGTTAGCTGCTGCCAATGTTGTGCCTTTAATGCTACTCTTAATTAATTACAGCACAGTGCAAATTGATTAGATTTTATTTGTTTAATTTTTGGGCTCCTTTCCATTTTTCTGTCTGTGTGCAATGAAAAGAACTTAACTATATTATCTATAGAGAAGAAGCACGTTTTTAGTGAGGATTTTCTTGTTTTCTAGTGTTGTACTGGTGCATCAGTTTTTATTACAAGATAAGTTATCCAAGCAAGCCACATTTTAAGTCTTCAGTGTGGACCTCATATATTTGTTTGAATATTTAAATTTAAAGGTAGAGTATACTTAATGGTGTAAATTTCTGATAAATTAGTACTCTGTTGTATAGTAATTCATGATTTCTAAACTACATGTCAACAAAACAATCTTACCTGCTACTGTTGCAGTAAATACAAATATTTTCTTCAACAGAAATAATCCAAGCCGTTCTGCAAAACGGAGAAGACAATGCAGCAGCATTGGGTGGGTATAGAGATGACTCGTGTGTCATAAAATGCACACAGAAATACACAATAACATTCTCATAAAGCTCATGCAGGACCTCAAATATACAGAAAGAAATCCTGCACACATTAAATCATGCCTATAGCCTTATTGATATTGGCATCTCTCTCATCACCTTGAACCTGAAAACATCTTATTTTCTGTCCATTCTTCCTTTTGTTAATTCTTATCTCATCACCATCTTACCCCAACCCCTTAAAGATCATGACTTGTCTGTATGCATTGTACGTACAGTATATACTGATCTTAATATATTTTCATTATAAAGGAAGGAGTGGCAAAAGCATACCTATACTTCACAAAAAGTTCATACATGCTGTGATGAATATTTATGCATGCTGAATAAGGTTTTGCATATATATTTATGCTAATAGACACTCAAGTGCATAACTTGCATTTTTAAAGGGCAGCGGGTACATAGATGTGTCAGCGGGGGATGCTACTGAAGCTGTTGAAGTAGATAGGAGAGTTCTGAAAATGAAATTGACCCATCTGTTTGTATTTAAATCATCCAAGGTCTATAACTTCAGACTACATAATCTGAATCTGCATCTAGTATGTTTATCTGCCACTCTCTTTCTTTTATATTAGAGCAGAGGTGAATTACCTTTCTGTGCAATGCATCAAGATTCATAGATGTCATAACTTTTTAAGTGCATTATAATACATAACTTAGGTAGCAAAAGCAATGTCTAATTGCAATCAAGTAACATGTCGACTAACTACAATAAAAGCTGATATAATTGTTAATGACAATGTGGCATATTGATTGCAAATTAACTTTCAATTATAGCACTAACTGTTCGAATTGATGGAATTGCACAGATACTGACAGTGATATGTATTTGGTGGTTATTCCTTCAGGAACACTTGAAGATAAAGTGAAGATAAACCAAAACCCACTACTGGATAAATCTGCAGCTGTCCTAACCAATGGTGGAGGAGACATAGAGATAGACACCAATCATAATGCTTCAGTGCAAATTAATCAGTCCGCCCCCAATGGATCAGTTGTAGCCTCTGAAGGTGTTGTAAGCATAAAGTTGGAACCGGCGTTGAACCTGGGTGTTTCTGAAGCACAGCCTGGGCAAGTTCCAAATGTCAACATTAATGAGGAGGAAGAAGAAGGCACTCTGGTGATCAGAGCACAATGTGTGATTATCACAGATGAAGGGGATGATGTACCTGAGGATCTCACACCCCGGGAAGATCAGCAGGAGACTATGCAGTTAGAGGAAACCCCTCCGCTGAATCCAGAAGCAGGCAAAGAGGAAGTGGAGCCTGTGGAAGAGGTAGTAAAAACAGAAGCAGGATTAGAGACTTTAATGCAACCAGAGAATAGTGAGGCAACTGAGTCCGCTGCAGAGGCACAGCCAGAAACTGGAGATGGAGACATGCAGGGTGGCATAAAGACAAATGATAACAGAGATGGAGAGACAGAAGCTGAAGGACAAGGCAGACGATCAGAAGATCCAACCTCTGGACAGGTGCGGTCCCCACCTAATGCCCTAGAAGGCTCTACAGTGGCTCTGCCAGTCTATTCTGAGGTGCAACCCTCCACTCTCAACCCCAAGCTAGGTGCTGAGGGTGAAGCTACAACAACACCAAGGGGAACTGAGGCAGTATTAGCCCAGGACCCTGCCACTCTGCTTGACCAGTTTGAGGACGTGCCCCTGGCTGATCCCCAGGAGAACCAGAGAACAGAGGCAGGGCAGGGGGAGCAGGAACCCCTTCTGTCACAGACCAAAGCACCTGAGACCCATGCAGAGCCACCAGCAGCTAACAGCCCAGCAAGCACAGAGACATACAGCCCGACCAAGGCTACCCAGGAAGAGGAAACCGAGGCACCCAAACGCAAAACCTGCCAGTGCTGCTCTATCATGTAAAATCCCTCTCCGTACATTAATTTTCCTCTCTCCCTCTGCTGTTCAATTCATAACGCACTCCTTCCCCCGTCTTTGTTTTATGCACCAATCCTTTTTCAAATCAGAATGTCCACAGGCTACTCCCCTTTTCCTCTACTAACCTGTGAGGTATAGACAGGACTTAAGTGCCTTGATGAGCTTTCTACCCAGCACTACAATTTTTAAATTCTCTTCACACAACGTGGACCAAAATATGATTTTAGAATTTTTTTTTTTTTTTTTTTTTTTTAGACTGAGTTTGATTTAATTCTTTCCTGGTTAGCAGATGAACTTCTGTATAGGATCATTAAAAACAACATATTAGATGCAGTAAAGCAAAAACAGACTAAATATTGATTGTTTTACACTTGCATCTACATGTATAATTCATTGGGTAATTTTCATAATCTAAATATCAGATTACTTGGAAAAGTCCAAAGATCTTAAGAGATTCAGAGAGGATATTGTTCTAATTTAATACATTTAATGCTGAATTATTTTATTGATTTTGGTCTTTAATTAGAGATATCTTTAATCCAAGTATAGAGCCTGAACATTTTTATTCACTCTGTAATGCAGGTTTTGACAATACTCAGACTAATTTATAAGCAACAGCGTGTTCCACTGAATATTTTGTGGGCTGTTGTCAGTTTTAAAAGTGAAATTATTTTTGGAATACTTGAAAGTGTGAATTTTGTATTTTTAATACCAGATGTGCTTTTGATGAGAGGCTCCAGACCTCCAGACATAGCTTTGTGCAAGGATGTATATACTGTATACAGAAACATGTGGAACTGAGATGTCAGCTTTGAAATGATTGATAGATGGTTTAATGATTAAACTGACATTTGTGATACATTGCTTCATGGACTTGATGTTCATCCAGTATTTCTGTTCTTCAAACAGTGGATTTTCCCAAAACATTAACATTGCTTCATGCAAAAGAAACACATTGGGTAATGTTTAACCATTTGTTTCATAATGTTATTTCTTTCTCTTATTCCTAGATTTAGAGACGACTAGTTTAGGATAGCTGTCTGTCATATTCCATCCCAGCACACTTAAGAGAATTGGAGTGAGAGTATGTAGTCCCTCTCAGACAGCTGCTATTTCTCTATCCATGCAGCTTTAGTTGTGGTAAAGCTGCATGGATACCTTCGTCTCTTCAACAGGAGCAGGATCACAGGGGCTGAGCTTATGAGATAATGTACTTGGTGTCCCTTGCAACAAGTCTTGAAAAGTCCTCCACTTATGCAAGTACATGGAGCTTGTCAAAGCTTTCCTGAAGGCCCCAACATTGACACAAACAGTTTTTGCGGTAGTTCAGTGGCTAACTGCCACATCAGTGCCTGAGTCCTTGGGGAAAGGGCTGCAGAAATGAGCCCTGTAATTGTTCCCAGGAGGTCCGGCCCATCAACAATGGTATTTCAGAGAAGCTTCACATGGGGAGCTAGGACCTCTCTAAACTAGACAGGAGGCGGATACTGGTGTGTTTTTTTTTTCTTATTAGCAGGCTTTTAAACGCAATGACACTTTTCCAAATGAAAGGTCTATGAAGTGGTCAGTGAAGTAAAATGTGTGTAAGGCAAAGCATTTATTTTCAATTCTTTATACAATTTCATGAACGCTCCGTTTTAGCTATGGAGCCAGTAAACTGCAGGTACCAAATCCATGCTGCCTGCCGGATCCCTTTCTGCACATGCGCAAAAGTGGTCATGTCTGTCAAAGGGTACCACAAATGTGCCTTCATAATTACCCGTGTGGTGTTGTCTGTTCTCATCTCAGGGTGTCAAATACTGATGCTTTCAGAAAGGCTGGCAAAGCGTTATTCGATGCAAAAAGTACCCTTCAGCGTCTGTATGAGACACCCCCCGAGCGCGTCTGTACGAGATGCCCTGGCTAGACCGAAGCGCTAGTAGCTATGACAGCTTCCCAAAAGCCCCTTAGCCTTACCCTAACCATCACAGGGGTGTGTGCCTAAACTTAAGTCAGCATGTCGACCGCCTAACCCCATCTGCTAGGAGCTCCTTTGTGTTGCTACTTTGTTAGATTGTTGTCATTATTATTATAGGTTACAGCTGTGGCTCAGGAGGTAGCGTAGGTTGCCCATTAATCGGAAGGTCGTCGGTTCAATCCCTGGCTCTTCTAGGCTGCATGTCCACGTGTCCTTGGGCAAGATACTGAACCCCAAATTGCCCGTGGTGGCTGTTCCACCAGTCTGTGAATGTTAAGGTGTTGTCACACCTGGATCGATTTGTTTTGTTCCGAATCAGTTTAATACGTCACTTGTGTTCACACCATAGACTGTATATAAAAATGGACGTAGCGTCTGTGACGTCACCCATTGGTTTCTGAAGAGCCGTTTTGAAGCACAAAATTGGCGGAGCTGGCCAGCGCCATCTTGGAAGCGCGTCACTGCACATCACTCCCGGATAACCAAAAATGGGCAAAGAGGCGGGTCGTAGGTGGAGCTGAGGTGACGTGTTGCTGAAACCACTCCCGCCTAGCTCGACATGACCGAGTTAGCACATGCTAAGGAGCTAATGCTACATGCTACTCTGCGGTGCTGTACGGTGGAGGTTGGAACCTGCGGCTGGTTGTTACCAGTTTACCGACATTACCAGCTACAGTCAAGGTAAGACACCGGAAAATATTAAAATAACTCATATCTGTTATTGACATTATACTTCACAAGGTTTTAAATGCTTTTTAATATATAAATGTGGTAATGTTAACGTTATTTTGCAACACTAAAGTTAATTAATAATAATAATTATTATTATTAATGTTAACTATGAATCAGTTATTAATTACCTTAAGTTTACTTAACGTTACAGCTCAAACAAACAATTTCAAGCAAATCAATTTACATACCGTTGGTTACGAGCGGTTACGAGTCGTTTATTTGGACGTCACCGTAACACGTAATAAACGTAATAAGCTAGCGGTAGAGTCCTCAGTTACATGATGGAAGCTGTATATCTTGTAAAACGTTAGCCATTTATTTATTCTTTCATTCAGTTCTGTCACTTTGGATGTTCCATAATTATCACCCTAATGTCTAACACTAAGGTTAATCTAATGCATTTTGGCTTCTCCCTTCTTGCTGACTTGTTTTTGACTCATTAAAAGCTGCGGTTAGAACAACTAACTTACTTAATGTTGCTTACACTAATGGCTAATTAGCGTAACGAGCTAACGTTAAGCTAACAAGCTATATGCCGACAGCGATACCTGTTAAATGTTAACACATAAATAAAATACAGGAATTTCACTCACCAAGTAGAACATGGATTTCCTGGAGGTTCTCTCTCCAATGAACTGCACAGCCTGCCATTATTCATCCGGTGTCTGCATGTAGAAATGTCCAAAAGACTCCCAACAGGCTGAGCCTCAGAGCTCCGTGTAGCTGAGTGAGGCTAACAGGCGGCGGACCGAGTGCTAGCAGTGGCAGCGGCTAATGGCGCCTGTCAATCAAAGCGGCCACGCCCCTAATAATGCACTTTAAGGCTTAATATAATTTAAACAGGAGAGTTATAAAAAAATTCACTCCCCTCACAGTTGTCACGAAGGGCAAACCTAGCGATATGCACTAAAACCATTTTTTGAACCAGGCTGTAAACATGTTTTATTCTGCAGTAAAGTTGGGCTTTTTAACATGGGGGTCAATAGAGATTTTTTTTTATTTTTATTTTTTTATTGTTTTTATTGTTATAACACATTAACATACAACACTCTCGTATGGGGAACAAAAAAAATTAGATCACTTGGTACAAATCACAGGAAATAAATGAAAATAAATAAACAGAAAGGAGAATGGGGGTACCAGTTAATGAAAAGGCTATAGAAAACAAAATAAGGTCTCATTTCGGTGCAGCAATATGGGGAGATTGTTAGAACAGTAATTGCTTGGATATATCTCTATACATCTTTCTTGCAATTATACTAGATTTAACATTCTTCAGTGATGAAAAGAACAACTTAAAATTATTTATGAACCACAAAAAAGAAGGCTTAGAAGATTTCCACTTACTACAATGGATATGATATTTACCCATGAGAACAATCATATTCACCAGATCAGACAAAGGCGGATCTACATTGTCCATATAAAAGAGGATGTGTGACAAATTAAAAGATGGAATATTATCAATCTTAAGTGACAGCCAATTATGTAAATCAGACCAAAAGGTTTTGGACAAGGGACAGGAAAAGAACATGTGTTCCAGAGTCTCCTCAGCAGCCTCACAAAATATACAGGGATCTACTTCAAATTTGAACCTTTTTTTAAGAAAGTCTGCAACCGGATAGATTTTGTAAATTATTTTAAAATGAGTTTCTTTGATTTTAGGGGAAATGGGCCATTTGATGAATTTGAAATGTGGTTTATCTATGGATAAGGTATCCATATTTGGAACCTGTACACACAGCCCTCTGTCATAATCAGAAAAAAGCTTGGATTTAAAAAAAGTACAAATATGTTTGTTATTACATTTTTTATCATGTATGTGACATTCATTAATTACAAGATTGGGTAAGGTTGGTAGCGGTCTTATTCTTGCATACAGTAATGTGTTTTGGATTAGCTGTAGTAATGGTAGTGGTATTGCTTTACATATCTTTTTATATTCTTTCTGAGTGCAGTTTAGAGTATATTTGTTCAGAAAAGCAGTATGCTCTAAAAACTTACCATTATCGTCTAATATGTCATCAACAAACACAATGCCCTTCTCATACCAATCAGTCTTAAATAATGATTTCCTATTAATTGTAATGACCCTGTTATTCCATAGGGTGGAACCATGGGGAGAAGAATTGTGAGTAAATATCATTTTCCAGTACTGAAGAAGTTGTTTGTGGAATTGTGAAAGTTTAACAGGAATCTTGGTCACCTCAAAATCACATTGTAAGAAAAAATCAAGCCCAGCTATTTTTTTAAATAAAGATCTGGGTATGTGAAACCACATAGTCTGGTTGTGATAAATATGTTTTCAACCAATTAATCTTAAGGGTCCCAAACGTTGCTTCAAAGTCCAAGGCTTTGATACCACCTTTTTCATACTCTTTGACAAGCTGTGATTTCCTAATATAATGAGTTTTATTTTTCCAAAGGAATTGGAAAATAATTGAATTGATTTTTTTAACATTATTAGAAGATACATATAGGGAGTGACAAGGGTAAATTACACTGGAAATGCCAATTGTTTTAGATAGCATAACTCTACCAAAGATAGTGAGGTCTCTGGTTAACCAACGACCCAGCGCCTTTTTCATATCGATTAAACGGTCAGAAAAATTTATATCTTCCCTCCTAATAGCATTTTTGGATAAGACTATTCCTAAATATTTTACTTCAGTCTTAACCTTTATTGAAGCAATGCTGGAATCTTCAGATGAATGAATGGGAAATAGCTCACATTTTTGAATATTAAGAGAAAGTCCTGAAGCTTTAGAGAATATCGAGACCATACTGAGAGCAATATGCACCATAGATTTATTCCTTAAAAAGATTACTGTGTCATCCGCAAATTGACTAATTTTAAATTCCTTATCTAAGACTGAAATACCATGCAGAGCGGGATTGTTATTTATGAGCATGATAAATAATTGGGTGGCTAAAATAAATAATTTTGGAGAGATCGGGCATCCTTGTCTGATGCCACGTAGTACCTCGAATCTAGGGGTTATACCAGGATTTAAAGACACAGAGCTATATATGCCATTATATAACAACTTAATAATATTACAAAAGTTGTTTCCAAAACCTAAAAAATGTAGCACTTCAAATAGAAAGGCATGTTCGATAGTGTCGAATGCCTTGTAAAAGTCAAGAAATAAAACAAAGGCTTCAGAGTCAATAT